TGAATTTAACGATTTCTCATTGGTAAACAACATTGCGACTGATTCTCTGTGTCGTTCCCAAATATTTTTTTCGCTGAGCCGTATTTTTGGAAGGTAAATTTCCTCGGGCATCATCAAATTTTTTGTGATAAAAATTACATTTAAAAATAGATAAAATAAAAAATAACCGTGAAAACTAACTCGTAACATTATCATTGATAACTCTCTCCTCCAATTTGCCTACCCGAGTTATTATATTATTAATACTTGATATAATTAAAAATATCACAATGATAATATCGGTCAATAGTTATTTATAACTATTTATAAGGGGCTCATGCAAGCAAATATACGTAATTCATAATAATATTTTAAATTTTGAAATCATATTTATTTTTGGCATATGAAACTTTTGAATCTTTCTAAATTTTTGATTATTTTTTAGCTTCACCTGCTATCCTCTTCCGTCGCTTCTATAAAGCACCCCACAATGTTCCTGAACCACTGCTCTAAAAAATTATTCTCCCTCATTTCAAAGCATTTATGCAAACGTTAGAAGACTAAAACCGAAATAATAAATTACCAGGTAACAACACTCACATTGCCAAGTGAAAAAAAGTATCGAAACTGTTGCTATGGCAACAGCGGAGAGAGATGCTACGTGGCACAGGTTGAGCTTAAACTCTGTCGCACATGCAAACTAAGTTAAAACGTTCTGGCTCAGTTCCTTTTCTTTATAGCAGTGCTTAGAAGGAAAGTAGAGGAATTTATTCTGTGACCATTTTTGTTTTCTGCAGACATTTCTTCATCTGGGAAGCGGCTGTCTAGCATTCATTTCCCTAGAAGAAGGATGATATTTCAGAGATATTTAGCACATATTAATTAGTTTTAATTCTAACGATTTGTTTATCATTTATTAATAATTTGCTTAATATTTAGAAGGCATCTTTTGCTTCTCTAATGCGCCTTCAGATTGCAGCGTCACATTTTCTGTTCTCTGTTGAAACATTTCCTAGATATTTTGTATTTTCTTATTTGCTGGATTTTAGCATCTCCAATTCGTAGCTCATATCTTGAGTTCTTCCTCTTGCTGACAACCGTATATTCTTACTATTATTAAGCTTAGTTCTTTCTTCTCACTTTCCTTTAGGAATTATGTAGGATTTCCTGCAGTTTCTTTTTTGTGTCTGTTATAAACACTCTATCATTTGCATATCTTATGTTCTTAAGATTCTGGATATAGTATTAAATCCTGGTAGGACCTATACTTCTGTAATGATTGTCTCCGTGTAAATTCTGAGTAAAACTGAGTAAGACTTAATTTCGGCCTTTTTTTTTTTTTTTTGATCGCTCCAGTAACTACCTGACCCCTGCTATTCTATATCCTGCCTTTACAAGAGACAGATCAGGCTAAAAATGGAGGACTGTTATATGGGCAGGAGATGCCTCGTTTTCATTTTTCCAGTCTCAATAGACTCCAAACTGTGATAAATTATTTTCCACCCTACAAACCGCTTCTCTAGCAACAAACCACGCTGCTCGAACGCTATTTCTATGGAAAGTGCTCAGGCTACCAGTTCTAACCCTTACAGGTAAGACCCACCATGTTACATGCATTGTAACGCATTACCCTACTACCATTCGTTTTTTCATTAGTGAGACGCAAGTTCCACTCACGCTTCTTCTTCCCACGAACTTTGTGTAACCGACGCCGAAGAAGATACTTCCACGAACACTAGCCTGTTTAGGTCAAGGGTTAATCGTTTTTCCCGTACATAAACTGCGCCTCTTAATCTGTAACCCGCGACTACGAGTGGTTCCCTGTCTTTGAATAGGGTGTACATTACGAGCACATCCCGGAGTGGTTAGAACGTTCGCTTTCTGACCATGAGACCCGGTTTCGAATCTCATCATGGTCAATTTGTCAGGAAGGAAACTTCCTAATGTTATCGGACTGGAAGGGTGGGGGCGATCCCAGCGTGTGGCACCTTTGGTAAGTGCCTGAAAACGATAACTCGGGTTGACCCAAGCCTTGTGAGGTAAACTGGGGCCGTCGACAGCTGTTTTAGCACGAAGTTACAACTCATCGTGTCCGAGGGCTTGAGCGTGCTGTCTTTGTTCAAATTGTTGATCACGCTAGATAACACGCTCTTTCCCAGAAACTAACAAATTCTGATCAGCATAGTTGCAGTATAAACCGCAGACGTGCTCTATGGGTGTTGAATAAACACAAATGCGCCTGAGCAAGCGTCTGGAATGGGTACTGGCTAGCCGCCTTAGTAAACGGGTATCTTTGAATATGAGTGACCAGCTATACATCATGGTAAAAAAAAAAATGAATTCATTTTATTATCTTTAGGCGGGCGATTTGTTTCCAGTGTAACTTCTGGATTTTTTCTAATCCTTTTCCAAATAAATCGAACTTTCCTTGTAGTTCAAATAGTTCCTTGTGTCATACTTTATCATACGCTTTTGCGTATTCTATAAAACACAGCCATATATCCATCTGTATTTGTATTGCTCTTTCTGATATCATCCTGAGCATAAGCATCGCATTGCTTGATTCAGTGTTTATAGAGACTTGTCCTAAGTATTATTGTTCATTACCAACCTTCGTTTAATTATTCTATTCAGTAACCTTCCCTACGTTACAACAATTATGTAACAATAAAGTTCAACTAAAACGGAAATTATTTCTGACAAAATCTAAAATTTGTGATTAGCTACTAGAAACCTTTGTCATATATCAACACAAAGGAAACTAATAATGAAGATGATATCTCTGTATGAGTGAATATGCGATCAGTATACGATGTGAAGATACGAGTAGATATAAATGAGTATACGATATTTTTAATAATAAGCAAATCGATAATAGGCACGGCGGAGTAATGTATAGCGCTCGGATTGAGAAATCGAGTTCAAATCTGATTCGGATCCATTGCGTTCATTTACGAAAATGTATGAATCCTCTTCTTCTCCCCTATCTATGGGTAAATAGCAGAGCAGATTGGGTTTTATAGCCATGAGTGACAACCAGTCTAGTAGAAGGAAAAATTCTGAATTAAAAATCGAACTGGGAAGGGTAGGTCTACGTCAGGATATTTTGCCACAGAAACACCACTTCCCCGACGGGTCACGGGATATTAAAAAAAAAAAATTGATAATAGGATAATAAATAAAAATCAAGGTAATTCCACTTAAGAATGAATTTTTTTTTAAGTAGAATTAAAAATTTCAGCATGGTTTAAGCAAGTAAAAATAAATAAGTAGAGCAAAAAATCAAAACCCTGAACCTGATGATGGCTGGAGGGTAAAAATTAAAACCTGATAACAACAACAGCGACGATCATCTTTGTCCGAATATAAATATTGTGCATAATGATAACTTCCTCTCGTAAAGTCAGGCATGAATTAAACAAAAATAGTTACCAATTACGTTATCTTATATAATATTTAAGAATTCGACCAATTCAACTACTTTGTTTACATTAAACTATGTTTCTTTTATATTTATTAGATCCAAAATTAAAAGAAAAATAAGCATCAAGTACTAATAAATGCGCAGAATGTAGGCCACTCGAGAGGTGGCCAAAATCCGAATGTGCTTATAAAGGAAATCTCGTATTATTTTTTCTAGCACGGCACCAGGGAAAAATACATTCAGTTGTTCAAAATGCTGAGGCATCTGCTTCTGTAGACAGCATTGCTGGTCAGAAGTAACAATAAAAGTCGATAAGTCAAATTATAGACCATGTCTGCTTTTTAAATTAACTAGACATTGGAGTAGAAGAATGAAAACACAGGGGGGGATAACAGAAGACAAATAAAAGTAGAATAAAACAAAGGAATGAAAAAAGGGACGGTAATCGACGGGGGTGGTGGAAAATAGAAGAAAGAAAGAAAGAAAGAAAGAAAGAAAATATATAGAAAAAAGAAGATGGAAAACGCTGACATAAGAAGTTGAAAGAAAGAAAGAAAGAAAGAAAGAAATAAAGAAAGAAAGAAAGAAAGAAAGAAAGAAAGAAAGAAAATATATAGAAAAAAGAAGATGGAAAACGCTGACATAAGAAGTTGAAAGAAAGAAAGAAAGAAAGAAAGAAAGAAAATATATAGAAAAAAGAAGATGGAAAACGCTGACATAAGAAGTTGAAAGAAAGAAAGAAAGAAAGAAAGAAAGAAAGAAAGAAAGATGGAAATATATAGCGAAAAAGAAGATGAAAAACGTTGACATAAGAAGTTGAAAGAAAGAACGAAAGATGGAAAATATATAGAGAAAAAGAAGATGGAAAACGTTGACACAAGAAGTTGAAAGAAAGAAAAAAAAAGAAAGAATGAAAGAAAGACGGAAAATATATAGCGAAAAAGAAGATGAAAACGTTGACATAAGAAGTTGAAAGAAAAAAAAAGAAAGAAAGAAAATGAAAGAAAGTAGAGGGAGAAATATACATGAAAAAATGGAAAGAGAAAAGAAGATGGAAAACGTTGATATAAGAGGTTCAAAGAAAGAAAGAAAGAAAGATTTTGAGTAAATAAAAGGAGAATTCGCCAAAGAAAGAAAAGGAACCGATAAAATAAACGTGAAAAATGAAGAGAAATGTAGAAAAAAAAGAACATCTAAAGAAAGAATCAAGTCGCAATGATATAAATATATTAAATGGAAAATAGAAAAGGGAAACAAAGAATCAAAAAGAATCCAACACAGAAATTGAAAATTAAAGGGGAAAAAAATAAAAAGAATATAAGAAGCTTTAAAGAGAGAAAACCAAAAGAAAAATGACTAATGAAAATGTGCTTAAACCAGTAGACAAAATCAATAGAAATCAGTTGAATAAAAGGAAATAAAGAAATGAAGCCATTGTTAAAGAGTGATTGCGATAGATTTTAAAACGGAAGAGAAATAGTTTCGGAAAATAAAATAAAATAAAATGTTGGAATGCAAATAGGCGAAAAGAGAAGAATTGTTAAAAACAAGGAAAAATAAAAGCAAAATGAAATAAAATGAGAAAATTTTCCAAATGATGAAAAGAATAACGGACAAGAATGGTGTTTCGAAATCAATGTACAAAGATAAAACAGAAACTTAGAAAAGCGCTGAAAAGTAAAATATCGGGAGGCCAAAAAATCCCGGAGAAGAAAATGGAAATTTATTCTAAAAGGAAAGAAAAAAAGGAATGGAAGTAAAAGAAGAACCAATATTTGGGTCGATTGCAATCTTCGAAATCATGTTCTCCCTCATTGATATTTAAAGTCAGTAAATCACTCAACTTTTCTTTCCTTCCTACTTTCTTTCTTTCTTTTTTTCTTTCTTTCTTTCTTTCTTTCTTTCTTTCTTTCTTATCCTTGCATCTTTTTTCATTTGTTTATTTTTTCTTTCTTAATCTCTGTTTTTTTTATCCTTTTTTTCATTCTTTTATCTGTTCCGTTCAAGTCATTTTAAACTTTCTCTTACATCTTTTTCGCATTTCTTTCATTTTTTTCATCTTTTTCGCTTGCTTTTTTTATCATTCTTCTTTCTTTCTTTCTTTCTTTCTTTCTTTCTTGCTGTCTTTCTTTCTTTCTAATACTCTACCCGACATTATATATTACGAGTAATTTTCTTTCGGGGTTTCTTTTATGTTTTGATATTATTCTTCCTTCGTGTTCTCATTACTTTTCTTATTTACATTTTTCTTTCTTTATTTCTTTATTTCCTTCGTTCTTTCTTTCTTTATTTATTTATTTATTATCCCTGTATATTATTCATTGTTTTTTTTCCTTTTTTTTTATTCTTTCTTTTTTATCCAAAATATTCAAGTCATTTAAAAACTTCTTTTCTCTTATTTCTTTTTTGTTTAATCTTCTTTCTTTCTTTCTTTCTTTCTTACTTTCTCTTTTTCTTTCTTCCTTTCTTTCTTTCTGTCTTTCTTTCTCTCTTTCTTTCTTCCTTTCTCTCTTTCTTTCTTCCTTTCTGTCTTTCTTTCTTTCTTTCTTTCTTTCTTTAATGTTAACACTCTTCTCTCTTATGCATTACGAGAATTTTTCTTTCGAGCCTTCTTTTATGTTTTTTCGGGCCTTCATTCATTTTGTCATATTTTTTTCTTCTTTCTTTCTTTCTTTCTTTCTTTCTTTCTTTCTTTCTTTCGTTCTTTCCTTTTCCTTTATTTCTTTCTTTTTTTATAATTTTATAATTTTCATCTTTTCTTTTTTTATCCTTTTCCTTTTTCATGATTTTTTTATTCTTTTATCCATTTCCGTTAAAGACATTTTAAAATTTTCTTTCTCTTATTTATTTCTCCCTTTCTTTCTTCTGAGTCTTATCTTTCACATTCTTCCCTTTCTTTATTCTTTCTTTCATTCATTCTTTTCTACTTGTAAGACGTCATTTCTCCATTTATTTCTCTTTCCGATAATCTCACCATTTCGTTAAAGCAAAAGAAAAGAAAAAAAAAACATTAGTCGGTCCATTTTCTCTTATTCCTCTTCGGACGATCGATTCGGCTAACCGGCTGGACGATAAGGAACGGAGTCAAATAAACGAGGTGGTATCGAAATGATTTCCGGTGAATAGAAACGACGCATTAAATAAGTCTAAGTCAGTCTCTTAAACAGAGGAAATGGACTTCTGTGTCGGTTTATTTGCTTCTCTACCTAACGAATCCAACCCATGTATTAATGTTATTATTTGGATGAAGATTTATTTATAAACACGTCGCAGAGCATAATTCTGTCTTTGAATATCTTTTTAAATCATTTCACGCCATATAAAAGCAATAAAAGCAATTTTCCTACCAAGACACGGCTTGCGACATTCAAACTATTAACCTTCAATTCCTACGTATTCCTTTTGGTAAGTATGGTGTTACACCGGGAAAGTTCCTTTGTGGAACAGGCTTTTGCATGAATCCCTCCCACAAAAACATAATCCTAACACCTTCAAATCTGAAGTCAATCATTATCTATACTATAATTCATAATACCTGATTCCTACACTTATTTTCATGTCACACATTTAAGTAACATTTTAACTTGTGCGGCTTTTCAGCCTTGTATCTGGAAGAGCTTTAGTAAAAAAAAAAAAATAAATATATAATTACTTCATTTTTTACGGGTAGTACGCCAGTAAATTTTATTCATACCGTCATAAAATAACAATTTGCATTTTACTTATTAATTATCAAAAAACTTGTGTTTCCCGGTATAGAAATTAAAAATAATGATAAAATCAAGATTTTAGTTTACCACACTGGGCATCCCATCCAAAAAAAAAAAAAAAAAAAGAAAACTTCCATCGATATTTGTGTTATAGCATTTACGGGACCTGAAATGTCAAATTTACTGAAAAACATTTTTTTTTAATGAAAAGGTTATTTTAATTTAAAAATTCGTATACCTAAGGTGTACCTAAGGTTTAAATGAATTTTTCATAAAGGAAAAATTATTTTCGAAGCTTTTCATCAGCTTCAATTGAAAGTTAAAGAATTAAATTTTCGAATTCCAGAATAAAAATACTGTGGAGTATTTCAAATAGAAATTTTCATGATTTTTAGTCGATGCTTCCGAGAAACCAATCGGCCATTTTTAACGTTTTAAAAAAAAGGGTAAATTAACTTATTTTCCGGTTTTGAAAATCCCGCTAAAATAAGATAAACATTTCTGAAACGTTACTTTCGTAAAATTAGCAAATTTAAAGGTAAATTAATCTGTTCTGAAACAAATATCACTTACTTATAGCATAAAATTTTCTAAACAAACATTTCTTGACCTCGGGGTCTTGTTATTTTCCTGTCTCCATCGATAATTTGATGGCTGAATGTGTTGAAAGGTTTAGTACGGTGCATCAAAAGTGACATAACGGTTTTTTTTGTTTCTTATAATAATTTAAAATACTATAAAAATTTCTTACATTATTGAGTTACCGCTATCACTTTCATTATTTAATAGCTAAGATAATGATAAATAATTTTATTAATTATTAATATTACATTAAGTTATAACATTTTAATTTAAAAACTGAGATAATAACTAATAAAATTATTATATTTATAATTAAAATATACGATTGAGTTATTAATTGTTTAAATTGATAAATGAGATAATTTTATTATCTCAATTTAATTTTTAATTTAATAAATGCGAAGGGGCTTTCCCTAAGGAGGGGACAAGTCTTGAAACACGTAACCTTTTAACCATAATGTCACTTATGAGATATTATACTAAAAAAATATAACATTTTGATGCACAAAAGAAAATATTTTTAATTTTGGTAAAAAGTTTGGTAGCGTTATTTATATTAAGCTTTTAATTTTCGCTTAGTAAATATGGTCTTCAGTTAAAAACTTAATAACCTACCCCACATTGGAAGAATTTTAAAATATTTTATTAAAATTAAAGAAAAATGAAAAAAAAAGAAAAGAAATGTGCAAACAATTCTTTTTTCTTCAGATAATAAGCCTATTTAATTTGATAATTAGATAGTTTATTCTAGTTTTTATGTTACGATTTGGAGCAGATTTTTAAAAAGTTGGCAGTAGTTGTGAAAAAAATTGATGATTTAATTTCTCCAAGGAGTTCTGCTTATAAGTAATATAAAACAATTTGCGAACTAGAAACTTTTATAAAATTAATTTGGGGTGGCTAACAGATGTAAAAAAAAAAAGATTTTTACCAAAATTTTCTAAAATTAAAATTTCAAAAATAAATTCATTTACTTTTTGAATAAGTCCTGAAAGTTCCATTAAAATCAGGCACATTTTTGATTTTTGCAAAAATTTCCAAATTAATGGGTTTTCCCCCTGAAACTGCTATACTAAAATGACCATTACCACAAGCATTACAAAGTTAACAAAAAAAAAAAAAGAGAAAGATGTTTGACCCAAATTTAGAACGTGTTAGAAAGAAGGAAATTTTTTTTAAAATATTTAAAAAATACTTTGTTCTTTCCTCTTAATAATAACTTAAACATTTTAACGATGAAACTTTGTTTTTATTAAGTTTGGAACCTCTTATCATTATGTTAATACTTATTGTTCAGTCAATGCATTTCGAATTTTTTCCTTCCGGAAACGTCAAAACAATATATATATATATATATATATATATATATATATATATATATATATATATATATATATATATATACACGTCTTGTTTTGTATTTGTTTTTATTTTATCTACTGCACAGTATAGTAGAGTCAGTTGGGCACCGTCTGTGAGAAAAAGAGTACCATGACGTAATTCACTACGCCTGAAATTTTGGAACGGCATGCTGTACTGCTTGCCATTCGCACCGGAAGCTCGAACACGAAAATTTCCGTGTGTATTGATGTCAATCTGCGGACAGTGTGTAAGATTTGGAAAGAGTTAGATGAGTATAATAGTGATTATAATGGTGTTTGGAGATATCACTACAGATGGCAACGTTATTCCCCCATTCATCTTCCCAGAGGTCCTCATGCTTAACACAGTGGTCTACATCAATGGCTTTCAGGTGGTAATGCTGCACCGCATCACCCCTTATATCTGACAAACTAACCTTCCAGATTGTAACAGTCTTGATTATTATGTGTGATACGCAGTAGAGCGAGAGATTAACAAAACTCCTTGTAATACCAAAGATGAACTGAAGGTAAGTATTATGGCAGCATCAAAAAGGAGAATCTCCAGAAGAGCTGCAGGAGATTACGAAGAGTCCGTGGTTGAAGTCAATGGCGATTTTATTAGATAAATTTATTCTTCAATATTTAATGATATTTTTGTGCAATTTTGGTAAATATATTTAAAATGAGATGTCAGTGCTATTTTCATTTTGCGCAATTTAGACGACAATAATATATATATATATATATATATATATATATATATATATATGTGTGTGTGTGTGTGTGTGTGTGTGTGTGTGTGTGTGTGTGTGTGTGTGTGTGTGTATCAGATTAACCAGATAACATTTTATTCAGTATTGTAGAAATGACTGAATTTTATTTAAAATAAGTTTCGATAGAATCAATCGTATTACTGATTGAGAACGCGGAGGAGAAAACAAAGAATGATAGAAGAATTAAATGTCTGCCAAAAAAAATGAAAGAATATTTCTTGAAGAAAAGTTTTTGTCGTTTTAAACATTAATATACTTTGTCCTGGTACAAAAGCATCTTACATTAAAATATTTAATTAAATATCAAAGTTTCCGCTCTCTAATCACACTTGTTAATACGATGAAATTTGATTCACTGTGCCGTAAGAGAAAAATTCTCTCGCCAGAATCTATCATACATTCATATGACTACCATTCGCCTCTGCACTGAATATTTTTGTTACATCTGCTCTGGAGATTCTGCTTGCCATATAAAGAAGAATGTAGTTAGTACTATGAACTACATTCGACAGCATGGCCTCTGATCAAGAGATTAGAGGTTTTGAGGAGCATGCCATCACCTCTTAACAGTTGCTGTTCTAATGTTTACCATGACCCGGGGCGGTAGTACCTTTTATGGTCCCAGCTATCGGAAAATAATGAAACCCCAAACGAAACACTATGAAAGTGTAAAAATACATCTTTATAATAAAAATTCCAGAAATACATATTTATATAAAAATTAGCATATTGATAGTAAAATTAGCAACGATGCATTTTAAAGCAACATGACCAGCAATACATTTTAGCTGTAGTTGAAGGCATACAAATGAGATCAAAATATATTTAATTGATGTCTTAATATTGTACGAATTATTTAGATTCCGGTATTAAATAACCCATAGACATCGATATGCCGCTAAACAGAATCAACCAAACAAGCAACATGAAAGAACATATTCTTGATATTAATCCATATAATAACCTAAGATTTTTAAATTCAAACTGTATTCCAAAATATGACTCACGAAAGCTGAGTATCATCTACCATGTATTCAATTGTGAAAGTAGAATAACGTATTTTTATTACTTAAAGCTTCAAAGAAAATTAAATTTCGCCATTGTATGACACATAAAGCGTTGATATACCGTTAAATAAACAAATCAGTCAATCAATTTTTCTTAGTCCTGAGCTGGCATCTCGGATGCAGTCGCTCTCTCACCGACGTGCCGTCGCCTCTCTCTGTCTTTTTTAGAAATACTTTCATGGTAATTGCTCCGATGAGATGCTTTCGCTGGTTCCCAGGCTTCATGGATTCAAGCGTCCTAAGAGGATGGCATCCCGCTCTCACCCTTTCACTGTTAAAACTGTTAAATGTAGCCGCCTCTTCTACTCCAATATCTTCATATCTTGCACCTCTCGCCTGTGGAACTCCCTTACCATTCCCTGTTTCCCTGATAGCTATAATCTCCAACTATTCAAATGTAATGTCAATATACGTCTCCGGTTGTTTTGATCTATCACTATCCTTCTCTTCATCCTTTCCTCTATCACTCCTATCTGCTCTCCCTCCCAA